GACCACTTTAGTTTTATCTTTCAAAATTAGAGTGACAATCAGATTAGAGTCATTTGTGTGTATGTGTGTGTGTGTGTGTTACCAGAGGTCAAGCTTCATGTATTCATTTCCATATGGATACTCAATGTTGTAGCACCATTTACTGAAAATATTATAATTAATTTACTGTACTACAATGCCTCATTTGTCATAAATAAGTGGGTGTATATGTATAGATATGTTTCTCAACTCTCTATTGCCTTTCCTAGTTGGCTTGTTTGTGTAGGGGATATGTATATCTGCTATCACTACACTATCTTGTCAATTATAACCCACAAAAAATGCTGAAGATTTTTATTGGAGCTGCATTTAATTTAAGAGCCACATGGAAAAAAACTGACATCTCAAAATATTGCATTTTTTAATTCATGATCATTGTACATCCCTCCATCAACTTGCAGTTTTCCATTTTTTCCAAGTGAGTTGTAGTTTTTTTGTGTAGAGCTACTGAAAATATGTTGTTAGGTTTGTCTGGAGGTATGAGTTGTGTTTTGATTCTATTATAAGCTACACGTGTATGTGTGTATAAATATGTGTGTATATGTGTGTGTGTGTGTGTGTGTGTGTGTATGTACATTTATCTGTCCATGTTTTGGAAGGTTTATATATCCAAATATCAAGATTTACTCTAAATCTAGAATAACTAAAATGTGTTTGAAATGAACCATTAACACAGGTTTGAAAATCAGACCAATGGAACAAAGTGTCTAGAAAGAGACCTACCTACACATATATGGTCAATTCCATTACAACAGAAGCTCATAGCAATTAAGTGTGAAAATAACTGTCTTTCAACGGTGCTGGGTCAATTAGATATGCATATGGAAAATATGTAAACATTGGCCCCTACTTAAAACAATCTTTTCAAGCTGAATCAGAGCCTTGAATGAACTTATGGTATAGCTTCATGGTCTTGGGTTACGTTAGGTACAGACTTTTTAAGGGAGCTGCAGAAATCCTTAATTATTTATTTCATATAGTTACTAATAATATTTGGGTTTCAATCTACATTTCAGTATTTGTTTTCTTTGTTTCAACTGTATTCTACTCCATTTTCTCTCTTCCTTGGCTTATTTTGGATAAGCATTTTTAATATTATTCCAATTTCCCTGTCAAAACTTGATAGTTAAATATTCCCTTACTATTCTTTTAGTTACTCTAGATATTAAAACGGGCATTCTGGACATGTTGGTGTCTAATGTAAATTACTACTTTTACCTCTTCACAGGTATTTCTTGGACCTGAACATATTTTAACTCCAATTAATTCCATTTACATGCTATATCATGTATTAATTTTATATATATTTTAAATTGCACAGCTGATTATCATTTTTGGTCTGCAGTGTTACTATTAATTTCAATTTACCCACATATATACGCTTTTTCTTATTCTTGATTCTTTCCATTATTTGAATGCTTTTGCCTGGGGTCATCTTTTTTTATGCTAAAAAAATTACCTTTAGTATTTTTTTTAATTTTATTTTTCAATTAAAGTTTACATTCAATATTATTGTGTATTAGTTCCAGGTGTACAGCATTGTGGTTAGAGATACTTTACAAAGTGTTCCCGTGGTATTTTTTTGACAGAAATCAGCCTATATGACTCATCTCAGTTTTCGTTCATCTGAAAAATATCTTTATTTTACTGTCACATTTGATTTTTTCCCTAGCACTTCAAAAATGCCCTTCCATTTTTCTTAAGGTTACTTTAAAATTGTTCACTTTCTTTTTAGATTTCAGTCATTTGAATGTGATGCCTGAGAATGGTTCTTTGTATTTAGTCTGGTTGGAGTTTGGTGATTCTCCTATATCTATGTGTTTGATAGGCTAATATGTTTTATCAGTTTTGGAAAATTCTCAGACAATATCTCTTCAAAATTATTCTGGCTCCTTATCTTTCTCTTTCCCTTTTGGGACTCCAGTTACCTCTGTTAGGCTTTTTTTCGGACTGTAAGACTCACATCCACCTCCCACCTGCAAATTTGGGAGGAATAATGGTTGTTAATGCTGCTGTTGAGTTCTGTTTGCATTTACATTGGTGGGAAATTATTTTATTTATGGTATTAAATATTTTACCACATCTTCTGCTTCAAAATTTTTTTTCCTATTTTCCTCTTCTAAAACCTAGGTGCATCTTGTGGTCTGAAAAATATGGTACTTCTTTTCTCTATATTCTATCCTTTTTCTCATACATTACAAATGGCATTATTTTGTACTGTTGTTTCTTCATGAACGGATCCTCTATTCATCTTCAATTTCCTGGATACCCACTGAAGTTCTTAGTATCAGTTCTTTTCTCTTTGCTTTTACAATTTCCCTTCAATTACTGATTCTTACTGACTATTGTGGGAGGGTGAATTTTCCATCTTGCCCCATACTCACAAACATATCAGCCACCTTTCAGAAAACTGTTCTTTCAAGGGTCCTCATATATCAGCAAATTTGTTCCTTTTCTGTTGCTTCCCCCGACCCTTGATTCTATTTCTGGATATAGCCATCATTTTTTCCAAAAAAATAAATGCCCAACATTTTATATAAAAAATAGATAAGGTCTCTGATTTGTGTTATTTTTCTTTAAGAGGATTTTTTTTTAGCTTCTGGCAGGCATTTAGGGTAGGGGAAAAATCACTCTAAACTATTTGGATACTGAAATAACTTCAGGTTGGATTTCAGGGTGTAGAGAGCCTGGTCTAATTCTGAGTTGTCTGTACTGCTAGGGCAGAGCTTTGTAGGAGTCTCAGGAGCCTAACCTGGTCTTGTACTGTTTACCAGGGTTCTCCTCCTTGACAGTGTCTGAACTCAAATTTTTATCTCCTGAAAATGCAATACCTGTAAAATCTAAGCTTACCTTCTAATCCTCTCGGGGACTACTTCCTTCTTTGCCTGTGTCACTTTGATATTGTCAAATAAGTCAGGGAGGGGACAGGCACAGAATACTGTGCTGCCACTCTGTGCTTGCCTTCTCTCTGAAATGTGACCTCATCCACCCCAGCTGCCTTGGTAGGCCCCGAAACCAACGGTTATCGGTTATCTTCCCAGCCTTCAGTGCTGTCCAGCTAACACTTTCTGTTCGGACTTCCACAGGGAATCTGAAATGTGACCTCTGATGCAGTGTGATGCATGCACTGGCAAAGTTCCTGAGGGAAATAGAGCTCAAAATGTTGGACTCACCGCTATGAAACTCCCATCGTTCAAGAAAATAGTTTCGGCTTCTCAAATCCTCTGGATGGTTCTCCGGCACTTGTCTTCCTCCTTCTGTCCCTGTCTCTCTGACTCTGACTGCCACGCTCACTCTTGCTCTCTCTATATACACACATGTTTGGTTTGCTGCAAGCCGATATGTCATAGCCTCAGGCAGAAGTCCCCAAAGATTTTGTTCTGGGAAACCAAACAACTCCAATTGGCCTAAACTGGCCTCTATCTTTCTAGTTCCAACTGTAGAATTTGCAGGGACCTTAGCATTTAGAAGATTGGGTATGGCTGAAAGGCACTTGTTAAGGAGACAGCAGAAAGCAGTATCGTTAGAGCGGTGGTTCTCTCAGTGGTCCCTGGACCAGAAATGCCAATATCACCTGTGCCAGAGTTTCAAACTTATTTCACAGTTGTTTTGTTTTTCCTACAGGAATTAAAATACTAACAATTTTGATCAAACCTAACATATAATTCTAATGACTTCATCTTCAAGTCACACCCAGAGCCTCTCAGACTACTCAACTCCCCTTGATTTTGCCTTATTTTTCCCTTGAAGCACAATGTATAATCTATGACTTTGTTAAAAGAATGCATATTTTGGGGCCTCACCCCAACCTAGTGAATCAGAATCCCTGGAGATGCGGCCCAGGGAACTGTTTTAAAATGCTCCCGGGCTGATTCTCATGCCCATGAAAAACTGAACGCCACTGGCCTCTCAGAAGAGAAAGCTGGAAGGCACTGTCATGAATCCAAACCCTAGTGACATCATTAACTTTGAAAACTCCTGGGTATTCACAGGCCTCACACAGCGCTGGCTACATTTGAGGTGCTCAGAAAACATGGCTGGTAGTAGGGCTGTCTGATTTAATAACCGAGATCATTTAACGGAAGTGTGTATCCTTCAGAGACCATCCTCCTCATTGACAAGATGACAGAAATGTCTGTGTCTATCCAAAAACACATGATACAAGTCTCATCTTATCTGTCTTCTAAATATTCAGAAAATTCAGATAAACACAACTTGGCAAAAAAAGATGCTCATAATAATATCCCCAAAGTCCCACAAAAGCACAGACTCTCAATTGCCAAAGAAAGTGTGCTCGTTCGTGTTGAGATGGGCCTCTGGTATATGTATGACCCAGCAGGCTGCCTGTGGATAAAGAAAACCCAAGACTTCGGGCTGGGAGAGGAAGACGGTATTGGTATTTTTTTTGGTTGATTGAGGATGTGTGTATGTGAAATTATTTTTTTAAAAAAGCATTAATGTATTTTGGAAAAGAAACATTTTTCTGTGTGGGCTGCGAACCAAAGTGTCGTCAGTTCAATTCCCAGCCAGGGTACATGACTGGGTTGCAGGCCATAATCCCCAGCAACTGCACATTGATGTTTCTCTCTCTCTCTCTATCTCTCTCCCTTCCCTCTCTAAAAATAAATAAATAAATAAAATCTTTAAAAAAAAACCCAAAAATGTTTTTCTAAAAGTGCCAATAAGGCAAGGTTAAATCCAAAAAGAACCCCCGAGAAATGAGATACTGAGCGGAAGTGAAGAATACTTGCAGTGAAATAAAAACAATTGAAAAATTGCATCAGAGAAGGTGACATGATAACAATAACAAGAAACTACAAGTGGAAGGAAATGAAAATTTAAATAATCAAGTTAAAAATATGTCAACAAAACCTGAAAAGATATATAAACCAAGCCATGATTTCTTAGGGAAAAAAACCCCTGGCTGCAGAAGGTAGCGGGGAGATGGAAGTCACTCCTACCTCCTCCAGTTGCACCATGAGAGTGACATTGTGCCCTTGTTCCGCTGTCAACTTTCCGTCAGCAGTGACGATCCGGAGCCCCCGCGGGGCCTTCCCCGGACACTTCTGGGGTTTGGCAGTGTACTGTTCTCTCACTCCGTCAGTGCAGTTATTGGAAACCACCTTCCTGTACCTACATGGAGAGAAGGTCAAGTTGTAATCGGGCTCATTGTAATTTGGATTGCTCCCAATTTTTTAAACTAAACCTACTGCCTAGTCCTGATGGCTACCAATAACTACAATTCATGTAGCTCTGAGGATGACAGCTAAGTCATATAAAGCACCCAACAGAAATACAAATCCTCATAATAATATGGTGTTCCTATTACTAGCACTTTCATGTACTTCTTTGATTCACCTAGCGAATCAATGAACTGTTTCACTTCACAGCTGTGGGAACCACACAGCAGTAGAGGAAATGGTCTTTGCCCTCACTAAATTTATAATCTAGTTGAAGAGATTTGTGTGGGTGATCTAAGATACTTCAAGGGCTATACAATTAAGGGTTAGAATGAGTAGCAATATATATTGCAAAAGGAATTTGCAACTCAGAGAAAGAATAGATTGTTATGGGACGACATGGTTTAACATTACATCTCATGGAGCATGCTCTAGTAATGACATAATGCAGAATGTTGGCTAAATTTCATAGTTTTTATCTAATATTTCATGAGGGGTTATACTGTTTAAAACCATTGAAATCTCATGGTAAGGAGACTTCAGTCTGCTGATTGAGGAAATCCTTCCTATTGTTTTGCTTATTTCTTCTTGTTTCAGCAGCCAAAGAGGGGTAGGATCGAGGGTGGGAAATGGGGGTGGGTGGGGTGGGGAAAAGTGGTGGCGGGAAAATGGAGACAACTATACTTGAACAATAAAAAACACAAAAAATAAAAAATGAATTATCCTAAAAATTTACCCTGTATAATTGATCAGATTCACCATAAATTAAATCTGTGGTTTGAGGATGCCTAACCTTTAAGGCTTTGCAGGTTCAGTGTTACCTATTCATCATCTTTTTGTGTGTGGTCTACAGTAACTACTTTATGGATTCATATATTTGATTTCCCAAGACTACTGTCTGTAATTGGTGGTAGAGCTCAGACTGGAAGCAAAGCCCAAGATCTTTCCACCCTTCTAGGCCAGGGGTTGACAAGCTATTTATATAAGGGACCAGATAGTAAATGTTTAAGCTTTGTTGTCTATATGGTGTTTGTGGCAAGGGTTCAACGCTGGTTGTAGAGTGAAAGTGGACATAGGCAATGTGCAAAGAATGAACACAGCTGCATTCCAATAAAACTTTATTTACAAAACCTGGCTGTGTCCTAAATTTGGTTTGCAGGTTGTTGTTTTCTAATCCCTTCAAATCTAAAGGTTCTCTCTTCTGTTCCTGAGTCTCAGAATTGACTAGCTCAATGCATGCTTGAAACAGTCAAATTAAACACTGTCGGGGAAAGTGCTTCGAACACAGTGAATCATTACAAGGTCAATTTTTAATATTTAACTCACCTTGTAGGGGAGTTGTATGGATTAAATGGATTAAGGTACACAGAGTGCTTAAAACCACTCTGACAATTAGCAAATGCTTGTGAAATATTGCCAATTATTTTTATTTAATACTATTATTATTTCTCCTACCTGTTAACAACTTTCACGTCTTCCAGATGTCTTTAGGATAAGTCGCAAATCCAGTTACCTTGTGCAGAACGCCCTTGACGAGCTAATGCCATCCTATTTTTCTGGACTCTTTTTCTCCAGTAAGCTCATTCTGCTCTAGCCACACTTCTCTGCTCTTTCTGCCTCTGTGTCCTCCTGCATGCTCCAAAGCTGCCCATGCTTCCACTCACAGCTTATCACCTGTCTTTTCCTGACTGTGGTAGTAACATAGTAAGACAGTGAGACGTTCATAGAGCATTCTTACTATGCTTTAGTTTAGTTATTGTGCTAAGTTCTTAACAAGACTTTTCTCATTCACCTTCAAAATATCTCTAATAAGGAAGGTATTCTTACACTTAAGGTATAGATGAATAAATTAAGGTTCAAAAAAGTTAACTAATTTTCTCAAGATTACACAGCCAGGACCCTAGACAATTTATCTCTAGAATACATCTGCTTTTTACCACTACACTGTACAGGTTCTTCAAATGGAGAAATATCGTCCCTCCTTTAAATGCTTAAAGGAATCCTTATGATTGACTTGATAGAAATCAATTTATGCCTTGTCAACTGCCTTCCTGTGTATGGCGGTAAACTTTAAGCTCCTTGAAGGCATCCTTGAGCCCTGAATATGCTAGACTGATAATCACGAGGTCCACACTGGGATGACTGTACCATTTTGAAAGATGAAATATCTGCACAGTAGTCGGCTATTACCACTGCCCTAACACCTCACCCACCAACCTGGCAGTGTTGATCCCTATCTTGGGAATCCCTGCTTCTCCTCACAGACCAGCAACTAAAGGGTTAACAACTAGCACAAGCAGGCAGCCTCCAAAGCCCTGCTCCTGCACTAAGATCCCTGCCCATTTTGATTGGGCATTGTTATGCCTGAGCATTTCTAACAGTCCCTCATTGGCTATTTTAAAAATTCTGTTGGATGTGTTTGTGAGTATATGCTGATTAAAATAGACAATAATGGCATGTGGGAGAAAAAATAAAGGAATGCCACTGACACTGTGCAATGGTGGCATTCTGGTACCAGCAATGGTAGCAAGAAAATGGCTGTCAATGTCATACAGTAATTACAGCATCTCAGTGAATTTAACTGTGAGTCAGGAAGTCCCTGTGTGTTTCTGAGGCAAGGCACCAGGCAAAAGAAAGACAGATTATGATTTTTAATCACTTAGCACCCAAGCACACCTGTGCCTCTGTCTTGGCTAGCGGCCATAGAGGCATGGGCTCACCATCACCATTGTCACCGTCAGCAAGGGAACATCCCTCTTGTTTGTCTCTGCTCTGACCAATCCTTGCCTCAGGCTTCCCTGAATCCGGTAGCAACAGGAGCTCTGCTTAAATCCAAAGCACGGAACCATCCCCCCTGGGATTCTGCCACAGAGAGACTATTGGTAATTTTTTTAAATGCTCATTAAAAACCATTCTGAAACCATTTTATTTCCTGGATGAAAATGGCATTGCATTAGCCCTACCAGACCTGTCCCTTAAATTTAGAAGAAAATTGTGCAGAAATACAGAGTTAATTTACTCAAGTAAGCACGCACCTGCTTTTTGCATTACTGAATGTTCCTATTTTCATACCAGCAGCTGTCCCTGGGTCTGAGTTACATAAATGAATAATGCATTTAATATGTTATTAAATGGGGCTGCTACCTCCACAATAACAAAGCGACTTATGATTATGTTGGACTGAAGCTCTGCATATTACAGGGATGCAGTCAGTGGGTAAAGCATTCTTCAGTCTACCAAGAAGAAATGCGATCTGTAATGGCAAGGGAGTCTTTCTTTGTACAATCACTGGAAAGGAAACATTCTGCAAATGTGCCTCTGATATTATCAACCACCCATCAGTAGATAGTGTCTTATTACTTCAGTAACCCCAATTTCAGCTATTCTCCTCCTTCCCATCTTGGTACCTCTCTCTGTCACTTTTCCTTTTTACCTCTATCTTCTTTGACTTTGCTTCTCGATTGCCTGCCACTCTTAAGAAGGATAAGGCCATGATTTTTCTTTGTGAGAGTAAAACTGGTGTTTTACTACTTAGTAGTTTTTTTACCTTGTGATTTTGGGTGGAATACAGATGTTTATGACTGTGCAGCCCACGGTAAGGTGGCAGCCTAGTCAAGCTCAGCAGATCAAAACCCTCTCTGCTCTTCAGGATCACTGGGAGGAACTTTAAAAATAAATTGATGTCAAACACCCAACACCAGGAACTATGATTTAATCAAGACTTCTGGGCATCACTGTGTTTTGTTTCTGTTTTTAAGCTCCCTGGTGATTCTCATGTGCATACAGGGTCCAAGACTACTGCCCTGGTGCTTCAAACTAATGTAGGATCCGATGACCCAGGTTTGAATTCAGGTTCTTACATACTATACGAACTTGGGCAATTTACTCAACCTGCCTCTCATATTTGGGTTTTCTGCCTGCAAAATAGGGAAAATTACAGAATCTTTTCATAAAGCTCCTGGGAGGATTAAGTGTGATAATGGATTCAAAAGAGCTTAGAACAGAGTCTGGTGCATGGTAAGAACCTAACAAATATTAAAATATCAAAAGTTATTGAAAATAGTAGTATTGAAACAATTAAACATGAACTTGCTAGTATACAGCAAATTCGGTGAAAATAGGAGCTATATTCTTATTGCCAAGATCATCCTAAGATCAAATCTGCCCATGTTAATTCCCTTCTTAAAATCATTCAAAACTTACTGTGGATTTATTCATAAGGGGTACGATTCAGGTTTCAAGTAGAGTCCACGATCTGGCCTCAGTGTATTTTTCTAGCTTCAGCTCATGCCACTGTCCGACACAGTTCCCACGCTCAGGCCACCCTGGCGTCTGCAAGCCTGCTTCTGCCTGTGCTGTTCCTTCTACTGGAATGCTCTCCCCTCCGTCTAGCTCCCACGCATTCTTTAAAAGTCACCTTAGAAATCGTGTTTTTCTGTCACGTTGTCTGTTCCCCTTTTTCACAGTAGTTATTGCATGCGACAACCATGGTAGAGCTGGATGACACTCGAGGTCTTCCTGCAACCAAGGTCAGTCTTATTGACCCTGAACTACGGAGTCCCTCATCTGAGCTCACAAAACAGTGTGGTGATTGCTGGGGGTAGGGCGTATAAGGGCACTAAATGGTAACGGGAAAAAATACAATAAGGATTAAATTTTTAAAAGAATTTATATAGTTTAATATTTTGGACTGTACTACACGCCTTTGCTGTCAAGGAAAAACAGCTTTGTTACGATGACACTTGACTTAACGGAACAAGAAATGCGACAAGCCTTGGGAGGGTAGAAGGGGGCTAGTTCTGAGTACAGTGTAGGGCTAAGACTCAAACTCTTCCTGGACTTGGTGTGCCCACACTTAACAACGATCTTATGCAGTAGACGTGACATCAACATTTAGAAAGAACTGGGTTCCATGGTTGATTAAGCAGGTTTTCCAAGTTTCTCTCCTCAAGG